CTTAATTTCTTGTTGAATATAGCCAAATAGGTACAGCAAGTACCATAGCGAATAATTTTGGTACGCTTGTAATTTATTTACCCCAATGTGGGGTAATAAACACAATGTGCATATTCCTTTTTATGTTGCCTTTGAATGTTTATTGGCTTTTACCATGTCCTGGGCCTAGATAAAAATGGGATCCTTTCCCGTCACCGCCGACGGCATACTCCGTCAATCATTAAGGCTCTGATTGGAGGAACTGGCAGCAGTTTCCAGGACACATATACATGTTAAAAGCTCCAGAGTCCTGACTGTTTAGCCTGGCTGCGGGTGAACACTTAACTGGAGACCCTCGTTGGATGCACGTTAAGTGGGGTTCATGAACCCCACACTATTCCCCGCGTCGCACTCCGATCCACCGCAGAAGTCGGGCATTAACGCCAGTTAGTGGTCCGCATCCGAGTCTATATGTGCGCAGCCACACATAGGAGACAGCAGTTGTTTCGCCGTGCTTGTTGTGTCTACAGGCATATCGGGTGCGAGGGTTCTGGGTGATTAAATGGATTTGATTTCACCCATTTTTTTCCCACGCCGTGGGCACACTCTGATTTAACCTGGTGCTTTAAATAGTTGAAGATGGGATCCGCTTAAAGTAAACCGAACTTAAAGTGCCAGGGGTATATTCAAATGTTTAAGGTCATTAAGGAGCGAGCGTTCTCTACTAAATGAATGAAAATGCTTGGATAATTGTCCACTCGTTTGAATGCCATTAGGAGCATATTCTCAGGCCATGCTATTCCTGCTTGATGCAATTTAAAACCAAATTGCATTTTATTCGAAAGACCAGTCGCACTTCATTAGCAAACTCCTCAACAAATTCGTTACAGCTCTGCAGCTGCCAAAAGTCTAGGGCACTAGAAAATTGTGCACCCGGACGAAGTACGGCGAACACCTCCGTCTGTCTCAGTCTCTGTCTGCATCTGTATTTGTATCTGTATCTGTATCTGTATCTGTATCTCCGTATCCGCTTCCGACTCTGCCTCTGTTTGCGAGTGTGTGTGTTCCTGGCGGAGAAGTGTTTGTTTGAGTGCGGAAATATTTAAAGTGTCACATACGCTGCTCGGAAATTAAATGTGAGTGTTGCTTCACGCCCCAGAAACGAGCAGCGGAAGTCAGCAACCTACACTGTGCGACCAGGTTAGGGGCGAACGTTCTCAATGTGGTTGGCCACGAGAAATGAGGGTGCTAATTTGCCGTGTTCTTTGTTTCAACTCATGCCGAGCGTGTAAAGTTCACTTGCTAAGCTCTGACACGTAAGTCTAACTGAATAACAAAGTTATTTAGAAGTTTATACGCGACTAGCGCGATTAGCAATAGCTTAGAATTTGAAGCAATATGATAAAGAACTAATACTAATTTCATTACTTCTCAAACAAAAAAATGTGTTTTCTCTTTGCTGCTGAAAGAATTATAAAACTATCGTTTAGCAAGGATTTGTATTCTCTAGTTCCATTTGATAGGAACAAAAAATGAAGTTACCCAAACAGTGTAAGATTAAAAGTAAGCTTTTTTAAAGAGTTGCTTATGGACTTTGCTGGTGAGAAAGTAAAGGTGTGGATTAATCTAAAGTCATCTATTTTAAATACACGTGAATAAAATTTGAACGGTACTGCAAATTGCATCACACTTGTGAGTTCCCCGAATGGTCATTCCTGGGTCTCCACCTGAGGTGCGCAAAGGAGGAGGGCTGCCCAGGTGGGCGTGGCACTGCTCTTGGAGCAAAGCAAATGACGCTCATCGCTTCTGTTAACCTCTTCCACCTGCTATTTGTTTCTGGTTTGTTGTGTGTGCTTTTCACTGCATACTTTTGAGTGTTTGTTGTGCATATTTCCGGTGGCCATTTGCGGGGGGCGTTTTTGAGTGTGTATGTGTGTGTGGAGGTGGAGGTGAAGGTGGGAGTGACTGTGCCTGTGGATTGGTGTTTCGAGAGTTCTGCGGTTACTTTTGAGTGTTTTCGTGTGTTTGGCCGCTTTTGTGGGTCGTTTTGCGGTGCGTGTATGTTTTACGTAACGTTGTCGTCTAAATAAATACGTATATATTTAATTATTTTGTCGGCGGCACTGGTCTCGCTCATGAAACTTTCGGCTGGGGTTTCGGTCTCGGAATTGTTCCACTTGTTGTTTGTTTGCGGCGCACTTTAATCTTATTTCCTCAACAACAGCACCACACGTTGGGGTTATTTAAGGTTTTTCATTGGATTTCCCCAATGCACATTCGTCCAACTTTTAATTATGCGTTTGTGCTGGTCTGCTGGCATTCGAAATTTGTTCGCTCGACTTTTTGTTTGTTCTTGCATTTCGCGCGATTCCCGAATTATATTTGCCATGACACATTTTTAGCTCTCCTCAATGGACAGCTAAAAGTTATTCCACCCTCCCCAAACGGCATTATCATGGCTTGCATGCATTTTTAATGAAGTCGGTTGTTGGTTTGGTGCGGGCATTTCGATGAGCTTATAATAATGCCACCGTGCGGAGGATAATAAGATAAAATCTTTGAGCAGCTGCGGGAACTTTAACACATGTACATTCCGTGCCCCAATCAGTTTTAAACTTTATATACTGAAGGCGAATTTCTTTTCATTTCTGAATTCACTTAAGGCTCGTATTTTTTTATTGCGCATACGCATCTGAGACCTCCGACAGAACGCTCTAAGCGTCTGCTCAACTATATGAGATTACATAATAGATACCGCAAATAAATATCAAGCGAAGCTGAGCTGTTTCGATTCTGATTCCGACTGGGATTCCAATGCAAACATGTGTCTCTGAGGCGACGGCAACTAAACTGACGCATACAGTCACAGATGTAGAAACAAAAATATTTCAGCATGCTTTTCCTAAAAAAGGATTTCGAATTTGTAAAAACAGCAAGGCAACGAGGCTTATAAATTTAACCTTGGGTTATCATTGTGAAGCGCTTAGGAATCGATAAGATTTAAGATGAATGCATTACTTTTCAAATGAAGCTGGCAACATAAGTGGAAACTCGGTCATATAATTTTGAGCTCTGCTGTAGATAAATACGTCCTTTGAATCCAGCAAGACAGCAGCAAGAGGAGCCAACGAAAGGCGTCTTGCGGGCCACCTTGGGCCATACATTCATGAGTGGCACCGTAGCACCGTACTCCCCGCCGTGCGCTGACTTTGCCTCGCTCGAGGCTTCTTCACGGGGGTCGCCTGCGCTGGTGGTGCTGCCTGAATGGAGGTCAAAGTGCATAACTTAAGTAGCCGACAATAAAATGCATAACACGGCACACAAAATACAAGCAGACAAGGCAGGGCAGCAATGGAAAACTAAGTACAGCCCGTACGAAAATGTGCAATATATGGCTCTATTTATTTGTACATTACGCCACGCCAAGACGTTGGAAAACTCGGTGAACACATGCACTGGAGCGAGTGTGTGTGTCCTGTGGCATGTTGTACCTGCCTCAACAGCTGCTCGCAAAAGGCCAAGTGTTGTGCTTGACATGAACACAAGGCAGGCACAAGGGGGGAATTCGGTATTTTTTCCTGACTCCGTTTCTTACCCGCTGCTCCATAATAATTTCATGCTGGGATGGACTTAACCAGAAGCATGCCGATTTACCTAATGTCGGGCTGGAGAGCAACAAATTTATTAAAGAAAAGCAGCGCAGGGAACCATTTTGATACTTGGAGAAGGAATTAACTATATATATCTTTTTATTTTTGCATCAGCAAAAAACTAGTCGAAAGAATTGAGTGATTTTGTTGTGTTCACTAGTTTAGTTTAGGCATTTTCACAAATGGTTTGCAACAGTCAATAATTTATAAGAATAAGATGCTCAATTAGTACCAACTTATGCTAAATGGTTCATTGAAATTTAAGAAACTTTTTAAAAACAAATTAAAGAAAACTTAAGGTACTCCCAAAACTTGTGAAACGTTGAAAGTTGAACAGAAGTTTCGTCAACCAAAAAAGTTTTCTCTTAAATATTCCATTTTCAAACTTGATATTGTTGTTATGTATCTCGTTGTATGTCTCTTTGATAAAAATTAAATAAATGAAGAAAAAATGGGGTCATTTATTTAACAACTTGTTCATAATTGGAAAACATTTTTAAGATCGTGAAGTGCTAGAACTGCAATGATCTAATAAACAAAATAAGAATGCACAGTTGTTAATTTTAATTTTTATTTACAAATGTATCAATTCGGACATGTAAAAATCTATATATAATGTCTTAAAATTTGTTGGTAAAATTTCAGACTTCATAAAACATTCTAAGTCATTTATTTTATTACAAAAATTTAAGTGAAAATTTAATTACTGTTATTGCCTAATTCGTATTAAATAGATAGAAAAGTAAACATACTTGACTATTGAGGCCTACAAACAAAAGTAGACGAACAAATGATTTAGTTTTAGGTGTCCAACCAATTTACTTCGGGTATATATGGTACAATCAAGAGAATTCTTTTCACCATTTTTAAAAATAAATGTGAACAAAAAATAAGAGAATGACCATGTAACATTGACATTAAATAAACTAACTACATATCTTCGCGAAATCCATGTAATTATATACAAAACTTTTTGTAATAGGCAGAAGTGACCAAACAATTGGTAAATTTAGTTCATAAATGATTTGCGGGGGTTTCATTATATTGATTTGGACTGAAACGCAAATCTTGCAAAAAAATCAATTGGAATCAGCGAAATGTTCATGGTTTATTCACGATTTTCGGCATTAGTCTCCCATTGTTGACTGGGAGTGTCCCACTGGGAGTGCTCTGCACAAAAGCCAACCGCGTAATTAAGCTTAACGTACCGAGAGTAAATACACATAACGGGTAACACACACACACACCCATGGCCATAGACACAGTGAGCCACCAAATGTTAACAATGCACATTACGCATACGCCACGTTGCCATGATGTTCCGCTTGTTTCGGTCCGCACACTTACTATCTCCTTCCTCCCTCTCCGCAGATACCAGGACATGTACAACAATCCGATTAAGGCCACTAATTTGGAGCATCGTGACGTGGTCCTGGACATTCTGTCCGATGCACGAGTGGTTGGTCCGCTGCTGCAGACGGGTATGTTCCACGCGGATGTCAATCGGCGCAATTATATGTACGTATTTGGCCATAACAGCGCGTCCGGACCGTATGCCCACGTAAGTATTAGCCCTCCTCGCCGCCCGAATGGCGACTCCAATTACATACTCTGCAGCGCATTTAAATTAAACGCCCGCGGTCCGGCGAAATTAAGCCAGCATGAGTTGGCATCTAATGAGTTTTCATAATGTACTCGATACCTCCGCATCCGCTACCGCTCCCGAATTGCCCGTCCAACAATGGAACAAACATGCTGAAAAGTTTGTGGCCCTGGGCTGCTAAGTCCAGTTCATCACTGGCTGACGGTGCTTGTTTTTGGCTTTTTTGGCCAAAAACAATTCGCAAGTTTGCAGCTGCCATTGGGAAATGATCATATTTAAGACATTGAACCCCGCAGCAACTGAAATGGCTAACTATTTACACAGCGAGAAGATTAAAGGAATATGGGAGTGTTTATTTTTGGGATATAGGTTGAAATCAATAGCAAGCTTCCCATGAGATAGAAAATAGGTTTGACCTTATCGTGGGAATGAAATATGTAGACAATTCATAGTAATATCACCTATGCCCCCCAACGATTTAGGTTTTAAATAAATAATAAAACCGACCAATCAATTTTCACACATAGCTCCATTGGCCATATTGCTGACAAACATCTAAAGATTAGGCTGCACCCGTAGGCCTCTTTAGCTAGTCTGATTCCTCAGAAAAACTCTGTTGAGAAATTAGTCTTAGAAGTGCAGTGTTTTTGGTACTATTTTTCTCCCTGTGCAGATAGAAATGGAGGAATCCAAAACAAAAACATCGCCAGACAAGTTTCGCTAAGCAGACGGCATCCTTTTGACTTAGGGGTCATTTGAGTCCGAGAGGGGGTCACTTTCGAGGGGCGGGAAAGAGGTCCGGCTATGGTTATGGCTCTCTGTGTCCTTGTTCCTCCGACTCGGTTAGGTTGCCGGTTTTTATGGCTTTGTCATGCTTATGGATTTGTTACTGATTGCCTCGCAGAGATAGCTTTGTGCTGCCATGAAGCTGTCGTGGCCTCGGACCTCCGCTACTCTACAGTTAAATGGGCATATTGATTTGTAATTAAGATGATTGGATTGATAGGCAAATGGGGAAGGCTAAAAGCCTGGAAGAAGTAAACATTTCCAAGGAAATCCTTTCATCTTCGCGCTGTACTCCCCTTGGTAAGGGTCCTCAGAGCTTCGCCTTTGCCTTCCTAGAAAATTAAAGAAAGCCGTTGGCAGAACCAAAATTGCTCAGCAGACGGAGGAAAAACTTCCACAAACAACCATACAGAAATAATGAATTTGAAAACAACTCAAACAGGGATACAAAACAAAAGAGACACAATCCCCCCGCCAAGCGTAAAGTTATTATTTGGTATTATGTTTTTGGCAACTCTTAGCCTTGCGCTAAGCGAATTTTTATGGCCGCAATTGCGAAGCACTTGGCCATAAAACAAACTGCAACTGCAAATAGATGAACCGCTCGGGAACAGGGTCTTTTGTATGCGACAACAGCTTGCGGCAAGCGGGGTGCAACAACTTTTTAATAGCCCGCAATTAAAGTATGAAAATAAGTCTGACATATGGCCAACGGTTGCCATCGCCTGAAAGTGGCCAAATCACACAAAAGAACATGTTTATGCCCCCTGATATATGGCCGGATTCGCATTGGTTGCGAATAAATTGCGAGAATAAAATTCACTTAAATATTTCGTGCTGCTCGGTCGGCCCTTAACATGAAATGCGGATCCCAAGGATATTCGGGCATGCCTACAAATTATCGCTGGCTGTCGCCAACGCAACCTACTCTTTTTCCTTTTCTTTTCTTTTCTTTTCTATTCTTTTATTTTCTGCTATTTTCTGTTATTTTCTGTTTGGGGGACCAGTCTGGCAAACAGTCAGACAACTTAAGGCCCACACAACGCACAACATTCCGGCTTTTATTGTGTTTGTACCAACATCTTCATGGCCAAAGCCCAGAGAACTCGACTGGATGCGAATGAAATTTGTGCATAAACTGCGCTTCTGCACTCCATCTCGAGCATCAGCCACTCACTCACTTGGACCACGCCCACTCAGAAGACTCCGCTCCCCCCGCCCCCGCCCCCGCCCCCATTGTCCCAGCTGCTTTGACTATCTGCCTTGGGCCGCGGGCTTATTGTGAAACTTTTTGGCACATGTCTTGTCTGTCTTGTTTGCCTCGGCCTCAAAACGGGCCAAAAGAGACTACTTACGTACTTGGCTTGAAGTGTCCGGCCATTCCACTGAGATGAAGAAGCGCCTCAGGGCGATTGTTAAAAATAGCGAAAATTATGCCGAGCGTAGATGATTCCGGCCAAGTGGGAAATGTGCTTAAAGTAAGGCCTAATAGATTTAATCCCAGAAACAGCCAAATAAAGTTACAAGATTTAAATTAGGTTGAACATACAAATGTATTAGTAAGTTTTCCTTTTAAAGCTCAACATTCAGGGTTTACTTTGGAAAAACAAGGAAGAACCGTGTCATCCGTATAACGTTATTTAGTTCTTAAATGTCTAGGAATTTTTCTTAAAACAATTTATCCACCATTATTGAATTCAAACCCCAAGACAGTACGCAAAAAGCGCACGCAAATAAACAACATGGGAATTGGATTAAATTGCTGCTTTGGAGATTTTTCCATTCTTCTTTTCTAATTTCCCAAGCTGAGCAATAAACTCAGCGAGCCGAAAACTTTGGCAAAACAAGTTCCAATTTATTTAGGCATAATCGAGGGAAAAGAGATGAAAACGGCATCGGCTTGAGGACAGTTTAATAAGTTTTCCATATTAAATTTGGCATTTTCCCCAGTGCTGGTGCGCACACACAGACCCACGTAGACAAACGTCATTATCATCGCATTCTAAACGCGGTCAGCATGCCAAGAATTTCCGCAAAAGCCCCACAAATAAAAAACATTTGAAGTATGTCCCGTCTGGTCGCCTTCTTTTTTCTTGCGAAAGTTTTTTTCGTCGACTATTTGGGCATTTTCCCCTCCCCCCCCTCGCACTTTCTCCCACTGATAAGAATGCGAAATGGCTGGGGAAGGAAGGGAAATTTATGAAAATAAATAAAAATGACGAAACTAAAGTTTTTATTTCGGTGCGTGGTTGAAAGTTTGCGACCGTAGTCCGCAAAAAGGTTTCTGCGACTCGAGTGTTTGGCAAATGCTGAAAAACGTGCTTAATGTACACAGCATTCTCTTTGCCAGATTGTGTAGTGAGGGAAAATATTTAATTACCGCCACACAAAAATACCAAATTAAAGATGCTTGGTCTCGTCGCCCTCCTGCGAAGTCCAATAAAATTATAGAAAGATGAGGGCAAATCGTGCGGTATGGAATTTGCACCACCTGGCAAATTGCCTTAGGCTTCAAATCCTTAGTCGCACCGTAAAGCGTTTTGCCTAAGCCAATTCGGTGAAAATATTTTTGGAAATTTTACACGCTGCGAGTGCCATTAACTCCATTAGGTTTATTACGACAAATGGCGCTAAGTCAAATTGTTGCTTCCGCTGCCGTGGGCACAAAAGCAGGCATCTCTAGAGTGGGCAAACGGAGGAGCATAAATTACGAAAGTTACGCATTTATTCCAAATTGAATTTCCGCCTCCGCTCCGGTAATTTTTATTTGCAACTTTAAAGCAAGAAACGTTGGCCAATGACGATTATTTGTTGCAGGAAGTGCCCACGTTTCGGTCAATGGAATAAATACATAAATTATTTCGGCAAATTTATGAACATGTCTTAATTATGCAGTCGTAGCGGGGACTTATCATATACTGATTGAACAGAATTTAAACGGAAGGTTTAGGTTTTTAGTCAGCATTTGCCGTATAATGTATACTTTTGGGAAATTTATATTTTCCGCTGGTAAAAATATAAAAATATTTACCGACAGCCAGCACTCCATTTGATTGATTTAACCATATTCCTCAGTCCACATTCCCGAAATGTCAACAAAATTGTAACCGCTAAAGTAAACATACGCCAGTGTGCTGCATCAATTCGAAGCTGGAATCATAAAAACCTTTAAGATTCGCTTTGATTTTGTTATGGGGTCATCGAACCGTATATTTATGACAGAATGCCCAACGAAAAGCTTAGACTAAGCCCGTCCTTCAATGGCGAAATTGAATTCCTTTTGCCCGTTTCATCAAATTCTCATACAATTGCAGCAGGAAAATCAAAAGCGAAATTCATCATTCATAAATGCCATAAAAGATTTCAGCGGCGCAGAGGACGTCGCCCAAAGACGAAAAGCACAGTCGCCAGCTCCGGGACAGTGCCATTTTGATGTGCTCAGACAGAAATGCCTTGTGACTTTGTTACATTTTTCATGGCAACAATAAAAACTTGGCTTTATTACCTACTTACATTCAGCGACTCCCTCCGGCGGTGCCATTCTGGTGCTGGACAGACTCCTGTCTTCGGCTAGCTAAATATTTATGCAGCCCGTCTAAGAAGATTGATGCCGGTTGCTCACAATGGCCAAAAAGAGCCGTTAAAATACTGCTGAAAACATTTCACACCCGATCTCCGACCGACCGAGCTCCAACCGCATTAAGTTTTGGCCGGAGGTATATAAACTTTAGGACGAAGGTTGAAAACACTGCGAGCCAAGCATTTAATCCATAAATCACAGTCCCCGCAAGGTCGCTCCCAATAAAATCTTTGTAGTGGACACTCCTGTATACTTTACTTCATTTAAGATGCTTTGTATCCCGAATGAGTTTTATCTTTTTTTTTTCACAGCGCTATCAATTGATTGGGCAAAGTTTGTTGTAATCTTTTTGATAAGTTTGTTCTGAATGAAACCCCTTTTATTACCTACCCTTGTGTCTTCTTATAGTTCCCCTGCCCCCTTTAACAGTCTGCGCTTTAGAGAATTCCCCCACCGACTTGATTTACTGACACTGCTGCACTATGGTATATATATATATTTCACTTACAGCTACCGCATAGCATTATGGGCGAGGAACTGGCGTTCATCTTCGGGGCTCCTTTGGCCACCGCAGGTCCTTTTCCCAGCGGCAACTACACGGTGCAGGAAAAGCTGCTTTCCGAGGCGGTAATGGCATACTGGACGAATTTCGTAAAGACCGGGTGAGTACTGGTTGCCGGACTTGCAGGCCAAGAAGCGGATGTGAAAAGTGCATTTGGAGAAAGTTAGCAGGAGTTTTTGGGCTGCGAAAGTGGGCGGACGAAAGTGGGGGCGGGCCATCAACATCAACACGAAGAGTCACAGCTCTGCATGCAAATGCGGATGCGGATGCGGATGAGGATGCAGTGTGGGATATTCATGAGTTTTGGAATGGCTACGACTGGTGGCTTTGGTTTTGGTTTTGGATTTGGTTTGGCATTGGCTTTGCCTTCGACTGCGGCACGTTTTGCAATCTGCAACGCTTGGACAGCGAAATGAATAGAATTTTTACTGCCGCTTTTATTATTATTCCACAGCAGCCGGGTTGTGTGGCGGCACATGCAAATATTATTAGTTCAAGTGGACGCCGCTCTGGGATGAAAATAAAGGCTGCAAAAAAAAAAAAATGGAAATGGGTGTGGCAATCAAAACTGAAATCAGAGATCGTTAGCAGGACGATTTGGCATGTGGCTGCGGTAGGGTGTGGCTATTGGCCATAAGGCCATAACCATGTCGTTTGAATGAGCAAATGAAGGGCCGGATTATGTCGATAAAATGAGATTCTTTTTTGTGGGCAAGCGGGGGCCTTAGTGTGCACTGGGCGATAGGACATCCGTTGGCTCAAATCCTCATCGGCTGCCTCGATGTTTTTCCAGCAATCCGAAAGCACCGTGGAAGGGCGTCTTCCTCAACTCACATGCCCTCGAGTGGGATCGCTACGATCTGGACTGGCCGGAATTCAATAGGAGGGCTCAGGCATACCTGAATATCGGTGAGTGATTGACAATTGAGAGCATGATTTCTGAAAGTACTTGTTACATTATAATCTCGCGGCTTAAAAAAATCGATATTTTTATAACCTTCCAGAGGGTATTATAAGTCAGAAGTTTGCAACGCAGTGAACAAGACATTTTAGACCCTATAAGGTATATATATTCTTGATCAGCATCACTTGGTCGATCCGTTCGTTCGTTTGTCCGTTCGTCCGTATTGGTTTAATATTTTGCACTTAGTAATAGTTTAATTGTTCACAATTTCGCTTTTAATTTTATTAAAATTAAAATTAAAAAAACGAAACATTTATAACATCAAATCCGAATATATTATTTATTAATTCATTCATCTTTCAAAATGGAATTGTCATATAACGATTCGCCATGGTGTCTGCGATAGTATCGATGGTGGGTCCAAACCATCGACGTTTGCAAAATTGTTCGACCACCGATAGTATCGATAGTGTTTTCGATTGTTTTACCAACCCTTCTTTACAGATAATATATATTCATATATATTACAACAAGAAAGGAAGAAAACTTCGGCAAGCCGAGGTTCGTATACCCTTGCAGCTTAAATTATGATTTACTTGCATATATGCTTAAAAGCATTATAGCTATGATGATTTTAAGCTTAATTATTCGATAGTTCCTATGACAGCGATGCAATATACTTTTCCGATTTTAATAAAATTAAATGTGTAATTCTGAATATATACTTTATAGTGTCGGAGATGTGTCCTTCACTGCGTTGCAAACTTCTGACTGAAATTATAATACCCTCTGCAAGGGTATGAAAAAGGATGAGTTCTATTTAAGAAGACGTTTTAACATAAATCTGGCTTAAAGAGTGTGCCTTATTGTTTGCAACTAGCCATTGCCAGATTATTTGTGCATGAATGTCATAACTCAAAACTTTTCATTTTCCCTTCTTGTATGCAGGAATCCCGCCCACGGTGGGCTACAAATACCGTCAGCTGTACATGAACTTCTGGAACAAGGAGCTGCCCGACGAACTGAACCAGATTGCGGCCATTCAGGAGCAGCTGCACGGTCCCGGTCAGGAGGTGATTGCGGGGCACATGAGCAAGTACGGACCCAGGGAGCACGGGGCGGAGGATCCCGTGCGGACCTTGAAGCTGCTCCTCCAGGAGCCCAGTCTGGCTGGTCCGCCCCGGAGTGGCGAGTCCACGGAAGCGGCGGCGGAGAACATGTACAACGCACCGCCCACCTTCGGGCATGTGCACAAAGTGCCGGGTGGCAGTGAGTCCGAGTCCGAGTCCGACGCGGCCACCTCCGCCAGTATTCCGCAAGAGGCCGGGGAGGAGCGGCAGCAGGTGCCGCCGGAGACGGTGGCCAGGTCGGAGGCCACGATGCAGCTGCTGATCGCCTTGATTGCCATCATCATAGTCCTCAACCTGCTGATCTACGGCACCTTTCTGCTGCGCCAGCGGCGTCGGCGGGCCAAGGCCCTGCCCTTTCCCGCCCCCAAGCTGGGCGGGACCATCCTCAGCTACGACGGGGCCAACGACGAGGAGCTCAAGCGCTGCAGCAAGTCGCGCGACGGGGACGACAGCTTCGCCTTGGAGCTGTCCAGGAAGTCGAACACCTACGAGGCCATCAAAACGGGCCAGAGGTCGCTCAGCTGCTCCACGGTGGACACCCACACCAAGGTCTGTGAGTGGATGTCGGGCCAGGAGGCCCTGGCCCCCAAGTCGGGCAGTTTCACCCCGGCCACGCCCCCTCCCCCGCCGGTGCACTCAGACGGCAGGCTGATCATATGCCGGGACATTGAGGTGGCCGACGCGGCGCTGCTTATCCCGCAGCACATGCACGAGCCGCAGCACTACGAGATGCTGTTGCAGCGGCAGCACTCGGCACTCACCGAACCCAGCGAGGATACCTTGGAGCAGCAGCAGGAGCAGCAGTATCCGTACCCACTGAGGGATCGCCCGCACTGCCACTCCGATCCGGTGGACATGATCCTGGCGGCCGACGAGCAGGTGACCAGCTTCGTGCATGCCGACGACGTGGACATCAATGTGACGAGCAGGCAGGACTCGGATGGCATGGAGGTCGTCCCGCTGACGGCTGCCCAGCAGCTGGAGCTCCTGCGACTGCGCAACTACCCCAAGGTTCTGCCCACGGAGCAGGACCTGGTGGACAGCAGCTGCAAGCGCAACTCCCTGCCGCCGCAGAGCCTCAGCGCTCCGCTGCCGCCGCCGCGCACCATCAGCCACACATTGGGCAGGAGGCGGCGGGATAGCAGCAATGTGACCACTTCACCACTGCAGCTGGCCAGGGACGAGGATGAGCCCTTGAAGGAGCCCCAGATCTCGCAGAATACCCTCATCGTGGGCCCCATTGTGCCCAAGTCGCCGGCCTCCAGTCTGAAGCGAGCGAAGCGAGTGCCGGCGTCGCTCGGCGGATCCTTTCAGTCCTTCGAGTCGGTGCCCCCCGCCCACGAGACCACGCCCCCTCAGGGCACCGAGCGCACCGAGTGCATTTACGCCATCAAGGCAAGTCCTGCGCTCGCCAGCTGGTCAGCGCCCAACGGGGACCTCTACGCGCAGCCCCTGAAGTCGCCATCGCGCACCTCGCTCATACCCAGGCCGACCAAGCAGGCGGACAGCCTGCCTCCAGGGGATCCTCCAGGGGATCCTCTTGGGGGGCCTCTTGGGGAGCCACTAGCAGCACCGGCTCCGGCCAGCCGCATTCCTCAGTTGCAACGGCAGGCCTCCGGCCGGGATTTGCCAACGACAATGGCCACCGAAGGCATTGAAAATCCCCCTGGATGCCAGCAGCGAACCGACTCCACAATATCATCGGGCTCCTCGGCATCCAATGCCTCGTCCTTCTCCTCCTCCTCGTCCTCGTCCACTGGAACCGTGCGTACGGAGCTGCAGCAGTTCCAGCCGCCGCCCGGCAGAAGTATTACGACCAATATATAGAAACTCCGGGGAGCGGCGGCTGCCAAGAAGTCCTTCAGGACATCCCGCCGAGGACGCAATGCGGCAACAGACAGCTGGCTGCCAGAGCTGGTTTCCTTTGGTCGGAATTTTATGGGGTCTGCGTAGATTTAATAATACATTTTGGTGTAAAGTTTATCTCTTGACTTGGTTAGAGCTCCGACTGGCGGCTTTCTGGCTTTGCTGCGAGCAAAGTTTCTGCCGGCGTAAATTAGTTAAGAAAATTGCAGTGGAGGTTTCCCAGGAGATTGCAGCTAAGGTTCGCCATATCGATGTAAGCAGCGAATGGCGTAGGGAAAACTAATTTTCCGGAGAATATTGGCTAGAGTCGCTTTAGCGAGTTGCTTGTAACTGTTTGCAAAACATATTAAGTAGTTGAAACGTTTGGTAACTTAAAATAAAATATATTTTATATTTGTGAAACTTTTAGCTCAGTAATGCATAGGGTTTGTATATAAAACGAAAAGAGTAATAATATGTAAGCTATAGTTTTTCTGGCAACACAAATATAAGCAAAACGAAGGGAAAATGGCCACAAGTTTCTCCTTCTTTGTAAGCTAATCAAAGAATTCTAATATAAGAAACAGTATTTACAAACATCTATAAATTTATGACAATTATTAAAGCAAAATATTAAAATATTTTAAGGAAATCGGATTATGGTTATCGAATTGTACCGAAGTCCCAGTGTCAAGTATTATAAGATACAAATTATGTTCTTTGTATTTCAAATTAGGTTAACCATATGCTAACACATACACATGTACTCGAAAATATAGTGAAATAGAAAATCAAACGATGAAAGCAACTTGCATGTGGCTGATTTTACATTTATTCCCATGACAACCGACAGCAGAAATGGCTACAGCTGAAATTGGCAATAAGAATGCCTTGAATTTCGCCACTCGCTCCCCAGAAGTTGTGTCAACTATTGTTGCCGCCAATTTACCAAACAAATGCTACTTACGAACATTTTTTCTCCTCTTTTATGGTTCGGCTTCTGTTTTCTTTATCTTTTTGTTGCCAATACTCTCGGGGCAAAGCAATTTCGCACTGCCGCTAACTTAATTTGCCACAACGTTTTGCCATTTGTATCACTTGTACAAAATAGAACACCTTCTATGATTTCCTTTTTGGTATACAAATTATTCATAAGCATTATGATGGATATACGGTTTTAGAAAATACGTTTGTTTACTTAAGCTAGTTTCAATGTTTTCCATTTTTTTTAAACTTCTTTCAATATAACTATTGATAGTTCTTTTTAAAACGTTTTTTAATTACAATATTCTTCTACAAAATGTAATGTAATGGTAATTCTTACTTATGGAGTAACAAAGTTTATTTTACAATTGAAAAATATTTATGGGGTATATAAAAAACGTTTTTAAGTCCATTGACTGTGTATTTTCAACAAGGAAGAGATTTGCACCCACAGTATTGATGTTAGGAAAAGTTATTGACCTGAATACAGTATATATTAGTTTTAATTACCTTGCCAATCTCGGAAAATTTTTGTAATTAAACATTTATTTTAGAAGTTCGAAATAAATTAAAATCAATTTTTTTTTTTAATTTCGCGACTTCTAGCCATTTCTATGTAATTTTTTCTGAGTGTATATAAGAGGACTACACTCAGCAGGGAGATGGAGTCTGAGTAGAAATCAGTTCAAATGTCAACATTTCTGTTGCTACACATATTTCAAATATTTGGCGTTTCGAGCATAGTTGTTAACTCTTCTCCACTTGCCTGAACTCGGATCTCCTCCCGGCCAGGACATCAAAGTTGTCGTTGCCCTCGACACCGGAGAATAGTTGTGCGTTGTGTTGCTAAGCTTAGGGCCATATCCTGCAGGATTTACTGCCTCGGCAGAAAAGTTTTTTCGACGGCTTTATGCCTTACTCCCTTTGTGGCGCATTTGGTTTGTTTTTTTTTTTTCTTCTGTGATGTTTTTTGGTTTTGTGCTGCGAATTGAGTTATTGTGTCGTTTCTGACTGGCCTCTTATGCAAATGGTTTTGCCTTCGAGTTGTTTTCCTTTCTTTTCACGCAGGTTACGCACAAAGTTTGCCACGAGCTACGGAGAAAATGAAAATCTCCGTCATAAGCAGGACGAACAGAAACGTTTTTCCCCCTCAGCGCTCTTGAAATTTTGTAATTATATTGCTCGACCCAATTGATTGTTCTTGCGTTTCCATTTTGGATTCATTTTGGCCTCTCGTTTGCGCATATTTGTTGGCACTAATTTAGTTGGCAAAAAGTTCGTTAATTATGAGAAAATACCCTGTCGGAGCCAACTAATTGGGCAGCACAAAGCCTTGCAAAAACAGATTAATCAGAGTCGTTCGATCAAACTGAAGCACATAAATTGATATAATAAAGGTCTGGAGAACCGGACACGCTGTGGAATGTGTTGACATTTGTTTTCTGCTCGAAAGGAAACATGAAGCTGGTTTTCACCAGTTTTCCATCTGTTTTCCGGGCCCGTCTATCAGACTGCTCTGGCCAGTTTTTCGTAATTTTCCTTTGGCGTTTCCTTGCTCGAGTTTATTCTTTCGCCCATGTATCGCTGTTGTTTTCTTTCGCCAAGAGAAATTCCTTCTGACCAGTCCTTGAGTTTGTACAGTGAAGTGCAAAGTGTATGAAATGGTACTTGAAGTGAATAAACTCGGCCCAACTTTTGTGGCGAGTTGTAAAGTGCTAAATGGAAGTTTTTAGTTTGATATGCTTGTAATAGAATTCCTGCAAGACACATTGGCAATTGAAAGACAACAAATCTGCTGTCTATTCTTAATCAATTCGGCAAACGTTAAAAACACTTCTACCCCATTAAATATGAAGCATTCGAATCAATTTAGTAAATTCTTTCTCCTGCCTCGGATACCCCGTTTTGAATAATTCATAAACAACCATGAAAAACCACAGAAACCGAATAGTTTGCTCTTGCAAATCAAAGTTCCCAGGCAACACAGCCGCAAGCAAAACAGCAGAAAAGAAATAAGAGAAATTAAATTCCCAAAGCAGATTTTCCCCAGCACTACGGTATTTGCTGACAACCACAAATTAGAGCAACTCAAGAGTATATTAAAGTCAAATATGTATAGGGAGTTCTAGTCGTAAATAACGAGAATGTGGGGACAAGTGCTGGGTGGAACTTTCTGGAGACGGGGAACGATTCATGCATTAATACTAGTACGGGGTTCTGGTCTCTGATTTGATTTACTGTTCGGGGACTTTTCTCTAGTTTCTGCTTAAATGGAGGAGGCAAAAAGGACGAAGGATGTACTGTAAACTAAGCAAGCGAAATGCAAAGTAGCGTCTGGAAGGCCGCAAGGAAATCCAAATACTAGGATGTAAGTTGGATTTAAGTTGGATACGAAACGGAAACACGCATTAAATTTAAATTTGATACGAAACGGATCACTATTTGCATATTTAATCTTTTTTAATTGAAGCTAATTGAGAGCGACATGACTAACATAATATGCATATGGTATACAGCGGTTTTAAATTGCCAAGATTTTTCGATTGTAATTAAGCAGCTTAAGTGCTTCATTACTAATTAATGCACTTTGTTATTGTTACTGTTATACCTACTATTAATTATATATTTAACCATAGAATTTGCCACATAGCGAGCAGTCGCTAGTCGTCGATTCACCAGCCCCGAACAATAAACTGGTTAAACATTCCACAACAATGAGAATGCGAACAAACGGGTCCCAAACGGCAAAGTGAATGCAAACAGAAGCAGAAACAGCGACAACAAATAAACAAATATGCAAATTATGTTTCGTTATTTTCTTCCTTTTTTATACATGTCACTTGTTTGACTTTATAATGAAAATTTAAATAATATAATAGGTGCCAGATTACACAATACCATGCGGACATGAACAATAGTAAATCATTCAAGGGCCAACAATTAATGTCGTTTAGTGGAAAGAAAACGTTTAAATTCTACAAAATAAAACTATGGTCCTATCCAATAAAATTAATAGAAATCGTTTTAGTTGTTCTCTGGAATCTATTAGTATATTCTTTTTATACATACACAAATCTTCTTTTTTTTCCTAGAACAATTTGACGGTAAATATTTTTATAAAACGCCATTTTCTAAGCAAACCAAAAATGTTTAGTTAATTGAATTTGGTGAATAGACAACTGAAAACAGCAACAGGAAGATGAACAACAAAAGTCATTAAGGACATCAAGTGCATAAACGGATTTGCTGGTTGATAATTTCGGGCTACGGAAACTAAATGTAATTTTGCGGTCGAATTTGTACACGAGTGCGCATGTGTTAAATGCAAATTAAACGCATCGAAAACCTCAATGAATATAAATTTGCAAGTGAACAGACATCGCCTAGCATGGGGCAAAATAATAATAATATAAATATTTTTAATTAAATACTTTTTTTGTGGCATTTTCCCTCTGTTCTCTTATTTATACACATTTCTAGTAGAGTTATCGGCTATATTGTGTTCGTTGAAAATGATGTAAAATGTAGAAGTTTCTGACCCTTTAAAGTACATAAATACTTGATCAGAATCAATAGCCGAGTTGATCTAGTTGATCGGCAGATGGCGTCAACTAAGAACCAATTGTTTTCTGGGGAAATATGTATAATTTTATTTAAATTCGTTAGCTAGTTGATGGGTATTTAAAAGTCGGAGTACTCGACCTTAGCGTTCCCTCTTGTTATTTAATTAGTCCTCTCCGATGCTTACTTGTTTGTTCTGCGGTTGAGAGTTCAATGGAACATAAAATTTCGATGGCCCAAAATAAAATTCAGCAATTGATTTAAATTGGTCAAGTGCAAGAGACCAACATCAAAGCATAAGAGTCCTTCGCTGTAAACCTATTAAAATGTGTTAATGAGTTTTGCATAGTGATTTTATTTAAGTGTATTCTTTTATTTGCAAGTGTGGTGTAGACGAATTAGCAAATGAGCACTTGGCAAGAAAAACCGACTGTTTTGTCTATCACCAACACAATGAAATGAATAAAATTGTGCGCATATATTAAATATTCTTCTATCTGCAGAAACACATTGCAAAACTCGTGTATGTAAACAAGTGTCCCATTTGCATTTACATCTTTCCTGGTTTTCCCTTTATTAAATTTATAAATTTGATCCAGGAGAGCTGTTGTTGTTGTTGAGTCAGGATCTTTGGCAAGTCAGCACGCACAAACCAAAAAATTCCCCTTCGCAGGAACACTAACGCCCACATGGACACTCACACGTAGGAGATTTATGGGGGAGCGCATTTTATTTATATACATATATTTTATGACTTTTGTGGTTTTCATATTTTGCTCTCTCGCTTTTCCTTTATCATACATTTTTTCCTTGCAAAATGAAAGCAAAACTGAAATTACTGGGAAAAGCACAGTGAGGACTGCAGGAAAACTGTGCTTATGATCCTTTTAAAGTAAATAAAATTGTTGAAGAGCGCAGGAAACTTTCAAGAACGTGACTTGGACCAGTTTACTGTGGGCGAAATGGTCAATACAGCGTGGACTTTATTCAACTTTAAAACTTTGGAGAGTCCAAACTACTTTTGAATGATCTTAAAAAAATGTTTATATAAATAAACTTACTTTCAATTACTTTGAAAGATGTCCAATATATGCAAAAAAATATAATAATATTCACAATGCTTAGTTGGTTTCTCGAAAAACATATATTGAAGCAATTTTAAATTAAAAATACAAAATAAATAAAATGTAAGGTTGCGAAATCAAACGAACTTTGTTTTAAATAAATTCTAGGTATTTCAAAAGTTCTCATAAGGTAATTAAT